AGGTGTAGTAGTACCTCTTCGGGCTCTTGTACACCTTTTTCTTGCTACGTGTGCGTGTTCTTTAGATCCTCAGATGGCTCCAGCACTTTCGTGACCACGGGCCGAGAGTCTTTGCTAGATTTTGGCATTTAGCAACTGGCATACGGTTTAATGTGAAGTCAACAACTAACACGGTTGCACCCAGACAATCTATAACTATACACACCCTATCTATTGCATTTAGGTACCCTAACTTATGATACAGAGGAAGTATTAAGAAAAAAAAAAAATTGGAACGAAGTCGGGCCCGAAAATTTGGCGCTTAGGAGCGCCACCTACCGCTGGCTCATCGACGTGAAACAGATAGTAACAGCAGGGTAACTGCCGAGGCTTCTCGCTGGCGTGACTGGGGGAAAGGGAAAGCGAACAATGTGGTGAGAAGTCCACAAGAGCGTTATTTCTTGTTCGGTGTTGTGCCATTGCTTCGACAGCTGTGAGTGTCCTGCTGTACCCGGTTGGAGGAAGACCGTTCTTCCGCACCGTTTTTCTTGCACCATGCTTTCTCAGCTCGCTGGCGATGAAGTGGCCTGAAGCTGTAGCCTAGACGATCGATGACGTTGAATGGGCTTCGTGGTGTTCTCGTTTTTTGGTCGCCCTTTGAGGAATTGGATGTCACGGAAAAGGTTCGGTCTGCTACTGCTGTAGGTTGTTTGGCATGTACAGCAGCCCGTATGTGCCAATCCATGCTGTGCCGGCGGCCCGCAATCTGATGCCTTCCCACCACTGCCTCGCGCCAAACCACTAGATCTAAACCACGTTCGTGCCCGACTCGCCGTGCCCTGAATTACCTGAGATTGCGTTGTGGGAAGCTGTGGCGAGGGGGTACTGCGGTGTTGTTGTTGTTGTTGTTGTTGTTGTGTGTACATGACTGACGCTTCTCCCCCGTCCGACGGCATTTTTTTTTGTTCTGTCCCTAACAACAGCCCTGTGCGGTGGCACGTACGCACAGCAGTAGGCGACAGCAGTACCAGTGCCGATGTGAGAGAGTCACATGCATTCTCTGGGCACAGCCAAATTGAGGGCTGCCCACTACTGTAGTGCCGGTTGTGGGCCGTACCCACGTAATAGTGCCGGTTCATCACGCACCCACTACTACTGCTGTAGGCTAGACTAGACATCATTTCAATTTTTCAGCACAGCAGTGCACGAGTAGAACCTCCCCGCGAAGCGTTTTGTTCTTGCAGTCGAGGTGCCGGTATAGTGCGGGTTATATAGTGCGGGTGGGTCGGTGTAGTGCGGGTTTTCCTAGTATGACACAACGAGTCCATCCCTATCATAGAAAAGAGTCAGAGACAGATAAACAATGGAATCATAGCGTCAGAAAAAACTACCTGTAATTTATGTCTACGATTTCCCAGACAGCATATAGGGACATGTCCCCTGCGGATAACAGGCTCAACAAATCAGTTTGGTAGCTGCCTTGTGTGTCTCATATATGTTATGTTGGGAACGTGCAGACGAAAGTTTTGGGTGCTGTTGGTTAGTCGGGCGTTTTGTGTGTCGCACCCTGTTAGTTTTAGGACATGCAATCTCCATCAGTTTACAAACGTATTTTCAATTTGGTATGCATATGTGCGGAGTTGTTGTTGTTGTTGTCTCTCACATTAGCTCTATAGTCCACAAAAAATGGGAAGCCCGTGGTCTCAAAACCTTGCACATACGACGCCGCGGAGAAACAAAACAAAAATAGGGTACGAACCACTCGGAACAAGAAAACAAAATGATTGAAAGAAAATAACAGGTATCGCACCGACCGTTCGAGAAAAGATCCCTCGGACACCGATCAAAATAAAACAAACACAAAAATAAAGGAGGACGCGTCCCACACCCGCCGAAAGAAAAAATCAAAGGGTAACGCACCAGCATCAGGCACTACGCACCAGGGCATGGGAGTAACGGAGCAAACCGGACAAAGAGGCGGCAGATGGGCATACAGCCAGACGTACAAAAACAAAGGCAACAGCAAAGCGAGATCACGGTACCCAACACATCACAGTAGGCAGGGAGGTCATGAAAAAAAGAAACACAGAAACACAGCACAGAGGCCGAAGGTTTGGGGTCCTTGTCGAACTCGGCCACGGCGACCATGAGCATCGCGGCCAAGAACAAGTTGAACAGTGGCGAGGCCAGGTTGCATCCCTGTCGGAGGCCTTGGCCCACGTCGAACCATTCCGAGTACTGCCCGTCGTCCGTTCGGACGCGCGCCCTCATGCCCTCGTGGAAGTGGCGAATGACCGCCAGCATCTTCGGGGGCACGCCGAAGCGTCGGAGCACGTCCCACAGTAGGTCTCGGTCCACCGAATCGTATGCCTTGGTGAGGTCGACGAAACACGCGAACACCGCAGTACTCTTCTTCCTCGCGAGCTCATGGAGCCGCTGGATGGCGAACAGCATGTCGAGCGTCGACCGGTGTGGGCGGAAACCGCTCTCCTCCTCCGGGAGGATGCCCTCTCGCTCGCAGTAGTGGCTCAGTCGTGTAGCGACGACCTTAAGCAGCACCTTGCCGGCGTGTGCGACGAGCGAGATGCCCCGGTAGTTGCCGCACTCCATCGTGTCCCCCTTCTTGAACAGCACTTTGATGGTGGCATCGTTCCACTGTTATGGTACGTCGCCAGTCTGCCACACGTCCACGACAGTGGCGAGGAATTCGCGGAGGAGACCTTGATCTCCGTCCAGGAAAAGCTTGATCAGCTCAGCCGGTAGGTCGTCCGGCCCGACGGCCTTTCTGTTGGCCATTTCCCGTACCGCTTCCTCAACCTCAAGTAGAGATGGGATGTCGTCGAGTGGCACGCACGTGGGCCACC